TGCCCAGACTGTTGGGATGGGGCAAAACAAAAAAAAAAAAAAAAAAACAACCCCAACAATCCTTTAGAAAGACATTCTGATGTCGTTTCGTTTTGTACGTTTGCGTAAACGTGGCGTCCCGGCAGAAGAAGTGACACACACATGCAACCTTTACTCACTGTGTTTACTTGACTCTGGGAGGTAGACACCGCAGCCTGAAGGCACTGCTGGTTGTCACGTGACTCAGGGGGGAATTTGAATCTGAAGCATTAACATTTTCCTGGGAAAACATGTTTCTCACATTGTCAGTCAATTGGGCAGTTTCTTTAAAGGAGTCGTTTCACAAACATGATGTTCTCTTCAGGTCGTTCCCATGGCGACGTGGATAGAACTTTAATAATTCCTTCTCTGGTCTTTTTAAGAAATCAAGGTTACAGAGTTATACTGGAGGTAAAAAGTCGGCCTTAACTGTGAGTTGGCTTGATTTTTAACGTGTAATAAATATACAACAATAGAAATTAACAACTCGGTCAACCAGTCTGATGATCGACGGGGTTGAGCTCCAGATGCTTTATTATTTTAACACAATTACGGAGGTGGAGACTCCTGGGAAACTCCTGTAAACCTGTTTGCCCTCGTCACGTGACGCTCGTTCTTTCTTTCTCCTTGACGTACCTCGGTGGAACTCACATTACAGACTGACGTGTGTTTACTAACAGCCACAGCTCCACACCCTGCTGGCTCACAGCCAGTGAGCTTCTTTTAAAAATGGGTCAGGGTCCCGGTGCTCGCTGAACGATAAGCTGCTGTCGGGCTGATAGCTCAACATTATCGTCAACAACAACAACAAGGCAGAGAACCTGTAGCTGTTCCAAACACTGCAACGCAATCATGCGGTGACCGTGTTCGTGTGCAGTGGTTTATGTCACTCCAGAGCCGCACGGCCTTTATCTCCACCACACACGCTAAAGCTCTACCCTGTATGCGTAACAAGTTGGGCTTGACGTGTTGACGCAGTGGCATCTGATTGTGCAGTCCTTGAATTACAAGTTTTTTCAGTTTGAAATTTGCCCAACGGTACTGCAGTAAAATGAGGCAGACCAGGTTTTCCAAGTGGAAGTGGATTTAAAAGAAATCAGACCCCCGACCAGCAGCTTTTGCCCCACAGCCATAAACCACTGCGGCACGTCGTGGCACAGTTGCATGCCGTAGTTTATGGATTCTGTGCATCTTCAGGAATGTACTCGAGGAATGTGTCAGTGCGCTGAGTGCACGTCTGTTTTACTAAACTGGGGTTGTCCCGACTGTTGTCGTTTGTGTACCATTCCGATAATTCTTACATTTTTTTGTGTCTGTTTTTTTTTTTTCAGTAATTATGCAATGGACTGGAAGGCAGTGTTATATAAGTGGAAAATGGGGGTGACATGCAGAGTTTTTGGCTAAACCACAGACAGGACATCAAGCTGGAAAAAATCCTCACAGCCGGTTTTATTTCCCTCTCATTTACAGATGTCTTCTCATCGGACGACGTATAAATAAAACTAAAATGTAATGTTTAAGAATATAAATAAATAAAATGACATTGTTAGTACAGTCAGCTGAACAGAAAGTGAGCAGAGCTTTTATACCAATAACCCGTTTCATATGAAACACTGTCTCCTGTTTTTAAGTAAAAAAAAAACTCAAACTGTGTAGCACTATTTCAATGTTTCAATAAACAAACGAACGTACAATGTTAAATAGTTTTCAACAGAGGAGTGACTTGGTGAGGTGTAAACTCCTCCCGTGTGTTGATCAACTGAGCAGAGACATTAGCGTCTTCAGCTCCGTGGCGAGTCTTTGAGGTTTTGTTCATTTTCTTGTGTGGTAACAGAACAAATGTCACAGTAATCTTTGCTCTCTGTGTCTTCACAGCTCTCGTTAAAATACCTCCAGACTACTGACGTTGTTCACCTGCTTCACGGTCAGGACAGTCTTGCAACAAATGTAACATTAGCTGACCAGTTAAACAAGTTAAAAAAAAAAGAAGTTAAAGAGTATCCAGTCACAGGATCGAAAAGTTGACAGTCAAGTATTTGAAATATCAGTCGATTCAGCAAAGCCTTAGTTGAGACTAAGTTCATTTCCTGTTTGGAAATACATTTTTTTACCCATTCTTGCTTTACCCATTCTGTCTGTGTCTGTGTGTGTGTGTGTGTGTGTGCGTGCGTGCGTGATCACCGCCGTCTGTTGCTCTTCTGTCTGTTGAAACTGGTTGTTTTCTTCCTCTATTTTAACCTGACTCATATTTTTGACGTAATTTACTTGAAACCATGCACATGTTTTTACCCACAAACTTTGAATGAATCACTTGTGTCACTGACAGAATTATTTGCAGATGTTTGATTCGTCCAATATTTCTTTATGAATCGTATAGAAAATACCATCATCAAATTATTTTTTATTTATTTATTTTTTTGTATTTAACAGTTCGACTGTGGTGTCTGTGCTTGTATCCTCGACATCTAACCAACGCTTTGATGCTAATTTTATCACAGAACTGTGAGTGCCTTCTTGTCACGTGAGGTCATTTTTCTATCACAAACAGAGGGAAGATATGAGAAGCACGGCTGGTGGCGATGGCAGACGTAAACAAGGTCGTCCTTGACTCCATGATGGCCGTTTACCCCCAGCACTTATCCCGGGCAGCACACCTAGAGGGAATGTTGTTTCACTCACGTTTCAGTTCCTCACGTGAGCTCCGTAAACCCCTGGGAATTGTTTTGTCAACTCGGTTTGATGATACTGTCGTGGTTTCCCAGACACATGCAACATTTCCCTCACAGACCCGTGGCCTTCATGTGCAGACACAGGCTTCATAAAACAGCCACCACTGAAAGTCTGAGCATTTCTTGGCGTAGTTCAGGGGTCACCAACGTGGTGCCCGGGGTCACCTAGTAGACCCCGTGGACCACCTAAGGTGACCGCAGGGTATGTTCTAGAAATAAAACTAGTCAAGAAGAGGGTCAAGAAATTTACTGCTACTGTGGTTTTTAATCAGTTTCACTTTCAGTGATATTCAAATGGGTGCAGTGACGATGGTTAGAAGAGTCTGCTATTGTCTGTCCCAGAACTGATTATTATTACATTGTTCAGGAAGTCTGTATTAAACAAGTAGCTTGAAGTAGCTCTCAGTTTCCAAAAGGTCAGTGACCCCTGGTCTAGTTCATGTAATAATAACAATTATTGTTGAAAATGGGTCAAATCACAGAACAGGTGAATCAGAAAGTTGGTACAAAAGAGAGAAAAAGTCATTGTCTTCACTGGTACTGATTATCTTCAGCATCGGTGATCACATTTTTTTTTTTTTTTTTTACACTGCTCCATTGAAGAGGCCAGCTTTCTCTGCTGTTCTTGTGGGTGTACCTAACAGTGACTGCAGTGTGTGTAGAACTCCATGGACGATTCACTGTGAGGAGGAGGTTGCTGCAAATTGCGTCACTGTCCTTTCTCACTGCTGCTCCGATGGCCCTGGGGTGTATTGTTCTGGGGCACGGACCCATGAAATGAAAGGGAAAGCAGTGCTGCGCTGACATAACACTGATGCTTCAGTTTGTTCACGGTGACTCAGCTGTAGAGATGGGAACTAACGCTCACGAACGTATACATTCCTTCCAGCTTCTTTCTGCAGTTCTTGTGTAGTCGGGGTTTTTCCTAAGCAGCGTTAAATGTCCATTTAAGTCCTGAATAAAAAAAAAACCAACAGTATATCGTGGAGATAAATGAATTAACACAGACACTGTAATGTATGTATAGTCAAATACCTGCACAGAGACCCCTGCCCCAACACACACACACACATTGAAGTGCTGACCCCTACCCTGCTTACTGATCCTATCCTACCATTCCTAATCCTGGTGCAGCACTGGAACATACAAGATTAGTAAATGGTTAGGCTTAACAATCCGTTCGTTCGCGTTTGTAGTTTTACATATTTGTCACGTGCAGCAACATGTCTGATTCAGTGAGTTGGAAACAACGCTGAAACAGTCGTAATTGGTTTATATGTTGAATTGGATCCATCTGCATCTGTAAGTTTGTTTCAGTGCGTTAACTAGAATACTTAAATCACGTAACGATACTGTAGTGTGTAACAGCGGCGGCTGTAACCATGCCGATGATTGATTGTAACTAAACTTTAAGTCGTCCTCTTGGTGTCGTAAACACAGCTCGCAACTGTTGTTGGAACAAACGTACAAACTATATTGTAAAAAAAACATCACCAACTTGAACATTGGACGTGCTCTGTGGATGTTTTCGATGATGGCATGACGTATTGATGTGTCTGTTGACATGTAAACACCCACTTATGTCCTTTAGTCACTGTGATATAAACAGTGTTTCTCTGTCACGTAGGTCCTGATTCCTGGTGTCAGGGCACAACAACCCTTTCGGCAGCGTTTATCAAAGGTTAAAAAAGGGAGTCTAATGAAATTTGTTAGAGACGTGGGTTATGATTAAAAGACAAATGACCATGTGTCTGCAACTATCAACACCGACGGAGCCTTCGCTGTCATTTTTCAGCATTGTTATCCACTGATAATAGTTGCTGATTTAATGCTGTGAATGATTTATTAATATTTAATGCAACTTTGCAAGAGACCACAGGTTGTCAGTTATGACCGCATCTGTGTTGGCATCTTGACCAAATATTTTTGGACAGTGATGTCATATCATATTAAACAGGCGGCATTTTTTTCCCCTCCCATTAAATGTGTACTTATAAATTTACAAAAAACAGATCTACCCTAGGAAAATAAAGTATACCAATGTTCCTGTCCAGTCAAAATAAATAACAGACCATGCAAGGAACATCTATAAACTCTGACTTGTCATTTTGCACCCTGCTCCTCTAGTACATTTCATTCTACCCCTTATTATAACCGAGACATTTGTCATCTTGCAGTCGTTCTTGAGAGACATGAAAAATACCCATGAAACCTGAGCGTAGTCTGCAGGGTAAATGACTTCAATGTTGTGTTTTTGTCTCGTATTTTTCCAGTTCTCCCCTCCCCCTTGTTTTCTCCTCTTCCTCTTTGTTTGCTAGATCTGCTTGATCCTCTCCCAGCACCTCGTGTCCTCCCAGCGACAGCCGCAGCGCTCTGATTGGCTGGCTTCGTCAACGGTGGGCGGTGCCTGACGACTGTATGCTGTTTTTCAGGCAGCAGCAGCAACACAGCGCTTCAGTTTCGGTAACACTCGCACACGAACTACGTCGAGCATACGTTCTGTTTGGAAAGGTTTTAAATCGGTTTTACGCCTTCATAAGCTTTATTTTATCACACACCCAAACACGGAGAATAACCAGTCCACTGGAGGACAGTTAAAATTTGTCCCCCGACAAGGAAAAGAAGGGGGAAATAACGAATTTGCTCCTCGACTCCGGCCCTTCCTGTTCAGCCTTTTGTTTTTTCTTTCAAGCGCTTCGCTTCAGCAGCGCCCCCGTGCGGACCAAGAAAAAAGGCACAAGGATAGGGAGCCAGGCGAGCGCCCGTGCTTTTTCTTGCCCCTCCAGCGGCGTGGGTCCCATCAGCTCGGCTGTCCGATGCGGAGTGAGAATGAGTCCTGCTCTGGAAGCCCTCATGCAGGCAGACGGGACTCCATACCCCGGGAAAGGGGTGATGCTTGAGCCCTTCGTGCACCAGGTGGGGGGCCACTCCTGCGTGCTGCGATTTGGGGAGGAAACCATCTGCAAGCCTCTCATCCCCAGGGAGCACCAGTTCTACAAAAGCCTCCCCCCAGAGATGAGGAAATTCACCCCGCAGTACAAAGGTGAGACGTCACCTCCAGCTACTTGCCTTAGCATTAGCATTTTAACCTAGCTAGTAGTGTTTTCTGATCACCGCTGCGAAACGATGCACCACAGAGAAGCCAGATGTAAACGTTCTGCTACATGACATAACTCTTGAGTATTTCCTGGTTATGTCAGTGCCATTTAAACAAAGTCAACATGCTGTGTTAACATTCACTTTACTATTCTTCTTCGACATATGGGCTCCTTTACGTAAACAGGTGTTTAGTTTATCAACAGGAACATCCACTAGGTGGCCTCCATGGGGAAAAGGTTTTACGATTTTAGGCCTAATGGTGTAAATAATCGTTGTTTTTGTTTTTGTCCTAAAATCGTTACATTTGGTTAACATCAAGTGCAGGAACAAAGCGAGTTCTGTTCTTTATGCTGTAACAGGAATTACATAGGAAGCTTATTAAGTTACAATGGTACTAGGGACGAAACAGTACGATTATTATTGGTTCACAATAGGAGTTTATAATTTATTTTTAAATGAGCTCAAGACAAGTTAAGCAGCTAAATTAACTGAAATGCTCTTGTGTTTCTCATAAACTGATATCTTAAATAACAGAATATTTGTATCTCAAACTGATATTATCTTAAATAACAGAATATAAAAAAAATGCACCTGTCTTTAGAGAAATACTGCACATAATCAACAAAACAAAAACAAAACAAACAAAAGAATATAAAAATACTAATAGGAAAGAGTTCCTTTATTTACAGGAACACTGTTAAAACACTGTTGGTATCTGTGGAAGAAGTTCTTCCCACATTTTGTTTGAACACCTGAATGTCACTTGGTGTGTGACATCTTGGTTTTATAGTTGGTCACAACCAGTGTTTTAAGGTATATGCGCCACCTACTGTTCTTGAGTGTGTAGTCTCATGGTATGACCACAGCTTAGTGGTCGCCTCCACCACCCACTCACCCACTCCTCCCAATGCTGTCTGTCCAAGTAGCATGTGTGTGGTTGTTTTGGTTACTCAACTGGCAGCCATTCTTTAGCTTTTCATTTCTGAGCAAATGTGTTGAATAACACAGTCCAGTGTTTGGTGAAGGAAATGATGAAATTGAGTTTTATTCAGCTGTTAAAACCCAACAGAAACAACAACTATTTATAGGCAACGCAACTTCTGTTTTCTGTTTTTCGCTCGTGTATTTTTACTTGTGTAACCTTGTGTCACCCATGTTGGAACAATTGGCCAAGCATCACACGCTCAGTTTTCCCGGTGCGGTCATCGGTGTCGGGAGGCTGCTCTGTCCGACCCGTGTGCCAGCAGCACGAGAAGTTCTTTAAAGTACCTCTGCTTTCAAGATGTCTTTGGTTTCAGGGTGAGATGAAGTTCCACAAGGATCAAAAATAAATGAGGCAGACCACCAGGGGAGTAAGACTCGCGTCACTAGAGGAAACTTCCAGGTCTGGTTTCAGGGCCTTGACAGAAATATGGAAACAAATCCACCTTTTTATCCAAACTTCTGAACTTATGTAAATACAGTATAACATTGTGTTTTTTGGCTGGTGTTCAAGTCTGCAGTCAGATAGCTTCTAGCACAAACAATATAATGTCCTTTATTACATGGTGACGTAGATGTCTGTGTGCAGCCTTACGACAGAGGTGGAGCACGTATGGTCTCTGACTTCTCAGATATGCAGCATGGGTCTAAAAAAAGGAGACCAGATATTAAGACACTAGAATTCAAAGTGTTGAAACTGGAAAATCTGTTAAAGCTTTATCTGCATGTAATCTTCAAATAATAGTTGTGTTAAGGATTATTATGTCACGTTATCAGACAGGGGGATTAGATGACTGGATGATTTGAACATGGAAAAACAATAGAGAATAACTGAGTAGAACCAGCATGGCAAATCCCTGCCAGTAGTCTGTGCTATAAAGCTATAAACGTTGTCCTTTGGTGGACTTTGTCTCAATCAGAGATTTACGGCCATCTATTGAATTAAGGCAGTGTGACGCACGGGTTCCCACACTTGGCTGCGGTGGCGGTGATGACTGTGCAGGTCTGAGCAGGAATCGCATTTCAACAGGACATAGTTGAGAGGCGGGGCTTCCTGCAGGATGCTGATGTCAGTGTTGATGACATCACGGAGGACGCAGGCAGCCGGGGGACTGTTGAAAAGGCCCGAGTCCACAGACATTAACACTGAATGATCGTGGTTTTTGTTAACTGTTAAACTACGGAGACCACCTGTGTTCTCTGTGCTGCCGTGGTCAACCCTGGTGTGTGTTTGAACACTGTGTCCGTATCGCTGTAGGTCTCCTGCTGATCTGTTTCTGTCACGTCCCATTTTTTCCCACTGCAGCTGTGACATTTATTCTGAGTGCATCACCCCTCCTCCCCCCCACCCTCCCTGGAACAGTCAGTCCTTATATGGACTTTTACTAGGAGCTGGGAGGGAGAATCTTGAGGGGCCTGTTAGTTAACAATGTCAGAAGTTTTTTAGGTATTTTTTTGTGTGTGTGTGTGTCAATCAACTGTCAGCACAGTCGGTACGGTCATTAGCTCAAAGTTATGTAATGACAGACGGCTGTAACGTACAGCATGTGTGACTGTTATGCTCCTCTTGTCTCGTAGGTGTGGTGTCCGTCAGTTTCGAGGAGGACGAGGAAGGAAACCTGTCCCTCATCGCCTACCCCCGCCACAGTGAGTCAGGTGACCTGGAGAACAAAGACCCCTCCTCAGACTGCGAGCCCAAAAGCAAGATGTTAAAGTGGAGCAACAAGAAGCAGTCCACGCTGTTCCTGGAGAACGACAACTACAGTAAGGACAGAAGTCGACACAGTTGGAAGGAGGACAAGAACATGAGGTGAGGACGCACACCTGTGCACGTCTCTGCTTACGCAGACAATAAAAAAAAACCCATTAGCTGTTATCAGCATAATACCAGAGCTGACGTTTTGTTCCTTATTGTGTCAACTTTGCAGCTACAACCGTGACGACGTGGTGCAGCAGAAGCAGCAGCAGGCCGAGGTTCTGTACTTCAGCCTGGAGAAAGGCAACGTTCTCCCGCAGATCAAACACAACCCGTGGAGTCTGAAATGTCACCAGCAGCACTTACAGAGGATGAAGGAGAATGCGAAGCACCGCAACCAATACAGTATCCTTCAGTGAACAAGTTACCAACAGAGGAAAAGCAGTTTAAAAGATCTAACCTGGTTGTTTATAAAAACAATTCTGCAGTAAATTTAGTTTTTTCTGCTGTTACTTGATCCTTGACCCCCTTTTACAGAATTTATCCTTTTGGAAAATCTGACGTGGCGCTATAGAGTACCATGTGTCTTAGATTTGAAGATGGGAACTCGCCAGCATGGAGACGACGCGTCGGAGGAGAAGAAGGCCAATCAGATCCGCAAGTGTCAACAGAGCACGTCCTCCTCCATCGGTGTGCGACTTTGTGGCATGCAGGTGAGTCTGAGGGTGAACGCCGCTCTTCTTCAAGTTGGTTCTTCAGTTCTTCAGTTCTTACTGTATCTTCTTTGTCTCCTCCTCAGGTGTACCAGTCAGACTCAGGTCAGCTGATGTTCATGAACAAGTATCACGGCCGTAAGCTCAACCTGACAGGTTTCAAAGAAGCCCTCTGCCAATTCTTCCACAACGGGCGTCACCTGCGTCAGGAGCTGCTCTCGCCGGTGCTGCGCCGACTCCGGGAAATGCAGGCCGCCCTGGAGGCCTGCGAGTCCTACCGCTTTTACTCAAGCTCCCTACTTGTCATCTACGATGGAGACCCCCCTAGGACCTCCACTAGACCCAGGCACAGAGGAGGGGAGGAGGGCGAGGAGGACGAGCCGTCCGATGAAGAAGAGGAGGAGGAGGAGGGAGGGGCCTACGGTCACTCCTCCCACAGCACCACGGAGGCCACCAGTCCCATGGTGGACGTGCGGATGATCGACTTTGCTCACACTACCTGTCGGCACTACGGGGAGGACAGTGTGGTTCACGAGGGCCAGGACAGTGGCTTCATCTTTGGTCTCCAGAACCTGATTTCTATCATTTCCCAGCTGGAGGATCACAGTAGCGACTGAAGCTGCACTCGGACTATTATGGTCTGAAATCACAGTCTGCGGGGTAAAAAAAAAGCTCACTGAGTTTTAAAGCCCACTGCCCACACAAGGTGCGATATTGTTAAGCCTACGTGGGGTTTGACCCTCCCGTGCTTGGAGAGATCCTGAGAAACCTCGGGGTCAGCGGAGAGGCCCGTGCGGTGGTCGTGTCCTCTCCTTCCACTGCCGGAGGACGGCCGTGCTTGTGCTCTTCACGTGCACTTTCCTCTTTGTGAGACTGCTCATTTGCTTTGTTACTTGTGGTAGCAGGAGGTGTGTGTGTTTGTGTGAAACCAGGGACTCGTGGAGCTCCGGTCTGTCAGAGCCTCCCTCTGCGAAGCAGACAGAGTTTCTTTATTGCAAAGTTCTCTCTGAGAGAGAAGGGCAGGGCGGAGGTGAGTGAAGCTCATCTGAGCTGCCAGGAGCCTGCTGTGGTGCTTCACCTGTGTTGTTGCATTGTTGTTGTTGTTGTTGTTGTTGTTGTTTTTTTTATGAAGATGAAGTTTGGACTAGCAGTTGTTAACAGTGACAGAGGTGACCGTTCAAGCTGACCTCCACTGGCTCGTTCAGCCGTCTTGTAGCAATTGACAACTTAAGCTTTTGATAAGGACTTTTGTGTGTTATGAACCCCATGACAACCGTTCGTGTGTATGTGTGCGTGCCTGAGTGAGTGAGTGAGTGAGTGTGTGTGTGCGTGCGTGTGTGAGTGTGTGTGTCCACTGGGCATGTGAATTTACTCTCTCGGGTGAAAGAAGCAGAAAACTTGATTCTGGAAGAAGGCTCTGCCTTTTTCAGGAGTTGCTCTTAAATCTTTCTTTGCTTGAAAACAGTCGTCATGAAAGGGGGATAATGAAGGGATATTTTCCTTGTTCTGTCACTTTTCCTTGTTTCTGTCGGATGGTTTTTCCTTTTCATTCCCAAACTGTTGACTTAACAGAGAGAATATATTGGTTAAAAGCAAAACGGTAGGATATGATATAAGACTACACAGAGATTATTTATTTAAAAACATTGTTTAATAATGGAAAAAAAAAAGTGGAAACGTGTACATTCCATATTACCACTCTAAATGTTCGGATACCACCTTTCATTTATTTTGTTTATTGACAGAGGAGATGCCTCTCTTGTATACTGGTTTGTAAACGTGTCTTGCATAATAAAGACATAAATTTTAAAAAAATCTCTTGCGTATGTTGACCTCTTAATGCACGTGTGTGTGCGAGTGTCTGTATGCGAACATTTTAAAAATCTCATAGGACTAGCCTTTCCTCGACGATTTAAACGTACTGTAGTTTTTGATTTTCTGAGCGCCGTCGTCACAGTCCATGGTGAGACTGTCGTGCAGATGTATCTTTAAACGTGTTGTTGCGGATGTAGTTTCATAGACGATCCGAGCATAGCCCTGTAGTGCTCAAATCAACCAGCAGATGGTGTGGTTTCTAACGTCTTATCGGGATAGGTAATAATTGTCGACCTTGCAAACTCGTTAAGCCTCACCGTGTGAATGAGTGAATGGAGACAGTTGTAATTAGCACAAGATCATGTTATAGGACAGAGATAATTCTGCGTTATCGTAATTATTTCTTGGCATTTACAGTGTTTTACATTCACGATTGCTTCTTTTTTTGTTTTGTTTTTGTTCAGCTGTTCCAAGGTAACTTACTTTCCGACAAACCAGTTTGCAAGTATCAAGGTGAAATGTCAAGCTTTTACTGTGCAAATACTCTGTGTGTGTTTGCTCAGTCTGTGCTTCAGGCTCCAAACCTTTGCCGTCCAGCGCTGTGACAAAGGTCGGAATTAGATATTTTTGCTCTCGGGAAAGTAATTATTTGCTGAGTCAGTCATCTGGTTTTGCCTCGGTCGATAGTACAATTTGTAGCAGCTATGCTGTTACCAATACAATCTTGACAAAAATCTTACTTCAAATTTCATATTTAAGATTTGTGAGAAAGTAAAACAAGAGAGGATTGAGTGGCCGCGCCTCACCACGGTTCACAAGGTCGGTCGAGGTTTTTGGCAAAGGTGCTGTGCAGCAGCGACATCGGCGACTGCAGCACACATCCAAATCTGATTATTCACTGCAAACAGGAAAAAAACATACTTAGGGAAAAGTCGTAATGTTAAGCAGGAAGTATTAAAAGGAATTACTCAGCCCTAATACACTGCACTGGCACTGAAGCTGCAGCCACAGATGACCAATAACATGAACTTTACTATGTGCTCTTCACTTACAGTGATTGTTGTCTACAGCAGAGATTCTTACGTTTTCGGACTTTGGGGTCCAACTTTCCCAGTGCTTATCCAAGAGCATCGGATGTTCGCTTTCCAAGATGCCCCTTTTGGAGCTTTCAAGTCTCGACTCTGTGTTGTTCCTTCGTTCACAAAGTCGAACTACGCTTGTGAAAATAACCGGTCTCGGTGGTTATAAAAAAAAAAAAAAAAACTTTCTACACGCTACTGACTGGAGCGTGTCTCCTACTGTTTATTGAAGCATATCAAACATCTGAGTGACTCACTACAGCTACTAAGTGGTGCGAAGCTGTATTGTAACTGAGCTTTGGATAATTAACAGTAATGTCTTTAGTGTCTAGAATAACAGTCTCTGTCAATGGCGCCCACCTTTGGGCCACGGGCCCATGGTTAAGAACCAATGGTGAAAGTGGATAAATGTGTGTAATGTCACAGAGGTCTTAATACTTCGTACAATACATATGTGTAACAAGGACAGTAAGAGTACGTGTGGATAACCCACAGCTTAGTTTTTGGTTGGTTTTACATGTGAAATGAGACTTGTTGACGAACAGGATTCTCAGGTCTTATTAGTGCATGTTCAAAGTGATTGATTAGAATGTGCTTTCAACTGTGTGGTTCAATGGGAGTAGGACATGTTCTCTGCACAGATGTTGTTTTACAGTTATGTAGTAGAAACAAGAGGACCCTGTTATGTCGTTGTGGTTATTTACTTTTCCTCTTCAGCAGTATGTGACATGCACACAGGACTGAAGGGTTAAAGAAATAGGCCATAGAGCACCAGCAGTGGAGTTGTTTCAAGCCGAGACCTTGGTGCTACTGAAACTAAACACAGATATTTGCCGACCAGAACAGCTGTGAATATGTTGACAAAGGACTACTGCATTTATGTCCTATATATATAT